AGAGAGAGAGAGAGAGAGAGAGAGAGAGAGAGAGATGTTAACCTTAGGAATTCGGGTAAGGCAATAACAATATCTCGGTTTTTGGAATTCGAGTTATCATAAGCCATTTTGCTGCCCTTTTTGCTTCGGATTATTTTGATTTTTGAAAGACAGGTTGATAGACGAATAATGCATGCGTTCGTCATTTTTGGTTGCATTAATTATCGAAATGTTGTTTTACTCATTAGTTAATTCTTTCCAAATATATCCATAACTTTGGTGGCTGTCTTATGAAATCCCTTGAGGAGAATAAAAAAGAACCATAATACACAATTATTTAAGTAGAAATATCTACTTTCACCCTGGAATATCAGAGTGCTAAGTTTTTCAAAAGTTACGTTTTTCAACCCATATTGTGCGACCATTGTGCGATCATGCGTAAAATGTGGTCATCGCACAATATGGTGTGAAAAAATGAAGTGTTTTGATTATGTAGTAGGTAAAAGAAATTATTAACTTATTTTTTGGGTGAAATGTGTTTGCTCATTAATTAAATAGTCGACAACTAGGACTTTTGCTTTCTTTCAGTGATACTTTATGTTACTGCAGGTCGCTATTCTGTTTGACCTGGCAAATGAATCATTTCCTCAGAGACTTTTGAATCTGGCATTCATTTTCTATTCGAAATAGGAATGCTTTTTCTTTAGAAGTGGTTTGTGTGTGTAGGTTGATTAGAAAACTATTCACATCCTGTTTTGAATTATAAAACAAATTCCAAGTAACTTGGTTTTTGTTCATCAAGAGGAATGTCACTGGGAGCGCGATGGAACTCGTGATACAAGTTTGTTTTTCCTTAAATTAACTAATTATACCTACTTCATCTGAGGGCAAATTGGTAATTGCATCCACTAAACCTTTCGCCGTCCCCTACTCTCTTGCAGGGCTTGTTGCAGTATTTCAATCTGGTAGAGGGCTGCCTAAAAATGATCAAAGCCTACCAAGAAGAGAACAATTTCACTTATGATTGGGTCATCCGAACAAGAGTTGATGGTTACTGGTCCGGACCAGTGGGGCCCGAAAACTTCATTCCGGGCAAATATGTAGTTCCACCGGGCTCGTCCTACGGTGGCCTAAATGATCGATTTGGAGTGGGAGACTACAACACCTCAGTCGTAGCACTTTCGAGACTCTCCTTAATCCCTCAGCTCGACTTGGCTGGACTGACCCAGCTCAACTCGGAGGCTGCTTTCAAGGCCCAACTCACCACCCAAAAGGTCCAATTCACTACTAAGCCTCTCCCGTTTTGTATAGTTACAGATCGTGAATATGCGTTTCCTCCAGCCCGTTTTGGGGTGCCTGTGGCAGCACTGTCTAGCCCAGGCCCACTTAGCGGCGCCAAGTGCAGACCCTGCACGCCCGTATGTACTGGATCTTGTGTTGGGCCAGTCATGAATAGGCTTGATAAAGGGTGGAGCTGGACCGAGTGGGCTGGAAACACACTTGAGCTTTGCGATGCACACAGTAAGTGGGAAAATGGGTGGGAAAATCTGTTTGATAAAGCTGCTGGTGAAAAACTGGCTTCTGCAAGGAAGAAAGTTTGGGCTTTGAATATGGGTCGATGCATTGATGGATTTGATAGAATGAAGAGACGAACGGCCCACTGGGATGGGCCTGAACCCGAGGAAATTTGCAGGCTGGGCCTGAAGTTGAGGTGATGACCAGCAGATCCTTAACACTTTAGGTGTAGCTTCAATTTTTTATTTCTTTTTTTTTTTTTTTTCTCTTTGATTTTTTGGTCTTGTAAAGGCGAGGGGTTTTTCCTGTTTCACACACAGGTCACAACACACTGCTATATAGTATAATATATTATTATACATGATTGAAGTAGAGAAAATTACCTGCACATCGTTAAGTTCGATTTTTATTTACACATATACGACCTCTAATTTTTTATTTTCAATTATACTAACGCTCTTTAATAAATATTTCCAATCTATGAACTTCCTCCTTCCTCTCTCACTCTTTCTTTCTCCTTCCTCCCTCTCACTCACTTTGTTCTTTCATTTTCTTTTATCCTTTCCTCATGCTATTCTCAAAAATTCTATGGTACTTATATGGGCACCATAAGTCATGCCACAATATGATGTGGCATATGATGTGGCCTTACAAATTAGATTAATAAATTCCAACATGGATATTAAGTAGTGCTTCCATAAAAATAACACAAAATAATTTCACACCAAAACCATTTTAGAATCTGTTCCCAAACCAGCCGTTCCTCCAAACCCACTTCAACATCGCGACCTCACTCACCGGCGCCACCGTTATGGCCACAATTGCGCGACCTCACTCACCGACGCCACCGCTATGACAACAATCGCGTCGCTGCTGACCTTTTTGCGGTGCTTTTCTGGCGAATTGGTGGTGGCGGCGGTCTGCGATGGGAAGAGGGAGCTCGGGTTGGACGGCGGTCTGCGATAGGGCTTGGTTGCCGGCATCTGCAAAACAACATAATACAAGCGACTGTTGGCTGCGATAGGGCTTGGTTTCTCGCATATTCAGGCACCTCCTCGTACGGATGTTGTGAAAGATTGAAGAATGGCATAGTCGTAAATTTATTGGGAATGTGTGATGATGTACTCGGTATGCAAGTGGCTGTTGGCTTGCTTGTGGCAAAAGCGCTCACGAATTCACCTAGTCCTTATTATCGGGGCATCTCTCCTGGGAACCCTCATGTTCTTGCCTTTGGATGTGTTCTTGGTCCAGGTGTTCTTTCTCAACTCATTACAAACATTTTTTTTCTCGCTTACACCAATATTTAATTACTATTATTATTAATGTGCATTTTTTAATGTTCTTTGTTGTGTCTATTTGATGAATTTCAAAATAAATATGTGTAATTATGTTTGTATTTTGTGTTGTTTTTATGGAAGCACAACCTAATATCCATGTTGAAATTTATTAATATAATTTGTAAAGCCACATCATATGCCACATCATATTGTGACATGACTTATGGTGCCCATATGGGTACCATAGAATTTCTGTGCGATTCTCCTCCCTCCACTTTCTTTTGTTTTTTTCTAATTTTTTCTCAATATCGCAGACCACCCCACCATCCATTTAGCAGCACCGACTGAGAAGGTTATGACCGGGAAAAAGCCACGACCGGAGATTCGTATGGCGGATAACGACGGGCCGATGTGCGACTACCTCTCGACACAATATGGGAAACCCGTCATCCTCTTCGGCCCAGTCCTCCCAAAGTCCTCCAAGGGCCCAGTCCCCCCAAAGTCCTCCAAGGGCCTGCTTGAGGATTGTTGGAAGACTTGGCTCAACAAACTCGGGCCCAAATCCGTCGTCTATTGTGCTTTCGACAGCCAGATGATCATCCAGAAGGCTCAATTTCAGGAGCTCTTGATTCAAGATGACGGGCCCTCATCGCCTTATCGAAGCCCCACAGTGGAGGTGGAGAGGGGGGAGATGGGGTGGTTTTCCAAGGAGGATTTCTGCGGGGTGAGAAGCGTGATGGAGGAAGAGAGTGGGGTGGGGAAGACGGCGATCAAAGAGAGTGAGAGTTAGCGTGATCTTATCTTGGGGAATATTTTTAATATTCATTTGACGTTTATTGGTAGTTTATATATGATATATGAACAAAAATGTTTTAGCTATGCCACAAGATGGGACAAAAACAGTCAGAAATGGTTAACGAGCTTGAAATGCCCAAGAAGCTGTTTATGGAGTTATCATCCAAGAGTTCTAATGACTTTTCCCTCCTCAAAGAAATGATATTGGTTCGTTTATCTACTAAAAAATATTTTTATTAACTGCAATGAAAATTTGTAAGTTTTCCATATATTTAATTGAATTTTTTCTCCTAAAATATTTTTTTAAAAAGGGTGAAAATCTTGGAACACGATCACATCACCAATTTGCAGCTAATGTTCCAAACAATGACACAGGCGGTGCCACAGACATCGATGTTGATACAGGTCATCTCGAGTTAAAGGTTTGTTTTAATTGTTATTGCTATCTGTAATACAAAATTTGTTTTGTCTGACAGGATAACATAATTTATTTTTTACAAATATTGTCGTTTAAAAAAATTAGGAAGTTGATGCCAAGTTGGACGAGATACCGACGCGGGAAATGATCCAAAAGGAGTATGTAAAATCTCAACTATCATTCTTATAATTATTTTTGTTTACATATTGTATATAGATAGTATAACATAACATGTATTGTTTAAACATTGTTTATATACGCTATATATATTGTTCATATCCATATATAGAGATAACTAAACATGTACTATTTATATATACTGTGTATATACATGTACTCTCTGAACATGTACTATTTATATACGGTATCTATATAGTATAACTGAACATGTACGTTTGTTGTTATTTTATTTATATACTGTATACCTGAATTTTTTGTTTAAAGTCATCAATTATATTTTTTTTTTCTACCAATAGACTGATGAAGCAGTCAACCAAAATGCTATGAAGGACACATCACACGACGGTGATGATGACATGTTCCCTCCCATCAACACTTAATTTCTAGCCGAAATTGATAGAGTTTACTGAAGCAATAACAAAAAGTCGATCTACCAATAAGAGAAATTTAAAAAAAAAATACACATTATGTTTTTTTTTTCTATTTTAGTGCATATACATTATATTAATGTCCTTCCTTTAAAAAACATACATTTTTTTATATTTATTTGTAATAAATACTTCAAATTTATTGTTCAAGAAGTTGCAGGCCATGACCTTTCATTGAATGCACGCATCGGTCTCATATCCGAACCAATCATTGTGTCTCAACCATCATTTGACGCAATTACGAAAGATCTACCTCCAACACAACCTTCAAGAGATGTGAACCATACCAATAGTGTTCTTGTGAGTTAACATAACATAACAATCTATTCGTAAACGATATTTATACTAATTAAGTATGTTTTATCTACTTTGTAGGAAAAATGTGAAATCCCCGTTCAGACAACTATTAATAAACCAATTGATGTGTCAGGTGTGGACATACCTGCTGAGCATGTCACACCACGTGTGTTAAACCCTGTTGTAGTCGTTAAAAAAAAAAAGAATGTGCTTAAACATTCAAGTTCATTTAATGTTCTGTTTTGGAAGAATATATTTGAAGGTGAAACAGACGACTTCATGAGGTGGCTAAGAATGGGTTTGCTTCAGATTGCTCAAAAGATTCGTGAACACGAGTAAGTTTTATAATTTTGTATATTTATTATTTACTGTTTATATTACGGGATATATTACTGTTTAGTAAGTATTAGTACATTTAAAAAAAAAAAAAAAAAACCAGTCCAAGTGTTTTGTAGATTGTTTACAAATGAAACATTCTTCTGTATTGTATATTTCGGTTTATTGTCATAAAAACATAAATTTCTTTCACTTACTACAATATACACGATGTTATATATATTTTTATGGAGCAGTACCTTAAGAGATACAGGCAGCTGAAGCTGCCATTCGACTTCAATATTGCCTTTATCACTGATAAGAATTGGTTTATGAGGATCCAAGACCCTGAAGTTCCTTGCTTGATGACAGTGCAAGTACATAGTTACTTAAACTGTGGATGCCATTATGTTATTATAAATAAATATTTTAAAATTCTGCTAATCACTATGAATTATCATGCATATGGATGTTTTATTCTATTATCTGAAAAATCTTGGACCATATGGTTCTTCCTAAGTCGTATGGTACACCACCACCGACGTTCTCTTTGATCAGAAAATCAAAGCTCTGTATGACTTATACGTTTTGAGAGGTTCCGATACGGTGTTTGTTCTTTGGACAACATTGTTGTCGACTACATAACGGGATACAAGATAATTTGTGGAGAGTCGTGGTGTGGTTTGATGTTGATCATGTCCTATTTCCCATTCATATTGATTTGAACGGTATTGGCCACTGAATACTGGGACGATTATCCACTGGTGAGAGGAGGCTCGTTGTATACAATTCTTGTCGATCACAAGAGTTCGACAAGATTGTCTACGATGGTGTTCGGAGTTATTCTACTCTCATTCATATTTTCCTCAGTATGTGGCTTCTCCCACATTTTTTATGTCGGTCCTTTTGGAGTAGAAGTGGACCACATTGAGGAAAATATGAATGAGTAGAATAGTACCGAACATCGTCGTAGACAAACTTGTCAAACTCTTGTGATCGACAAGAATTGTATACAACGAGCCTCCTCTCACAAATGGATAATCGTCCCAGTTTCCAGCGGTCAACACGAATCAAATCAATATGAATGGGAAAGAGAACATGATCAACATCAAACCACGACTCTCCACAAATTATCTTGTATCTCATTATGTAGTCGACAACAATGTTGTCCAAAGAACAAACACCCCTATCGCCTCTCAAAACATAAAAGTCATACAGAGCTTTGATTTTCTGATCGAAGAGAACGTCAGTGGTGGTGTACCGTACGACTTCGGAAGAACTATATGGTCTAAGCTTACTCAGATAATAGAATAAAACATCCATATGTTGTATAGGCATGATAATTCAAAAGGATTAGCAGGATTTTAAAACATTTATTTATAATAACATAATGCACAGTTTAAGTAACTATGTACTTACACTGTCATCAAAAAAGGAACCAGGGTTTTGGATCCTCATAAACCAATTCTTATCAGTGATAAAGGTGACATTGAAGCCATTCAGTCGAATGGTGACTTCAGCTGCCTGTATCTCTTAAGGTAGTGCTCCATCCTGTTAAAAAAATAATATTAATTATAACATTGTGTATATTGTAGTAAGTGAAAGAAATTTATGTTTTTATGACAATAAACTGAAATATACAATACAAAAGAATGTTTAATTAGTAAATAATCTATACAACAGTTAGACTGTTTTTTTTAAATGTACTAATACTTAATAAACAGTAATATATCTCGTAATATAAACAGTAGATATATAAAATTATAAAAATTACTCATGTTCACGAATATTCGAGCAGTCTGAAGCAAACCCATTCTTAGCCACCTCATGAAGTCGTTTGTTTCACCTTCAAATATATTCTTCCAAATATATTCTTCCAGAACGGGGAACATTGAATGGACTTGAACGTTTAAGCACATTTCGTTTCTTAGAAACGACTACAACAGGGTTTAACGCACGTGGTGTGATATGTCCACACCTGACACATCAATTTGTCCACTAATAATTGTTTGAACAGGGATTTCACCTTTTTTCGTGGATAAAACATAATTAATTAGTATAAATATTGTTTACGAATAGATTGTTATGTTAATCATGTTAACTCACAGTAACACTATTGGTAGGGTTCACATCTCTTGAAGGTTGTGTTGGAGGTAGATCTTTCGTAATTGCGTCAAATGATGGTTGAGACACAATGATTGGTTCGGATATGAGACCGATGCGTGCATTCAGTGAAAGGTCATGGTCGAACAATAAATTTCAAGTATTTATTACAAATAAATATAAAAAATGTATGTTATTTAACGGAAAGACATTAATATAATGTATATGTTTATCTAATGTATATGTTTAATGTATATCCATTAAAACAGAAAAAAATATAATGTGTATTTTTTAAACTTTTCTCTTGTCGATAGATCGACCTTTTGTTATTGCTTCAGTATCCCTATCAATTTCGGCTAGAAATTGAGTGTTGATAGGAGGGAACGTGTCATCATCACCGTCATGTGATGTGTCCTTCATAGCATTCTGGTTGACTGCTTCATCAGTCTATTGGTAGAAAAAAAATATATAATCGATGACTTTAAACAAAGAATTCAGGTATATTGTCTATATACAGTATATAAACATTATATAAACAAAAATAACAAATAACAACAAACGTACATGTTCAGTTATACTATATATTATATTGTATATAAACATTATAGACAATATATAAACATTATATAAACTATCTGTATAAACATTATATAAATAGTACATGTTCAGTTATGTCTATATACAGTATATATAGAGTACATGTATATACACAATATATAAATAGTACATGTTAAGGTATATTTATATATGGTATATGAACAGTATATATAGAGTGTATATAAACAATATATAAACAGTACATGTTAAGTTATACTATCTATATGCAGTATGTAAGAAAACTAGTTATAAGAATGATAGTTAACCAACACTATTTGTAAAAAAAAAAAAAAAAAATATGTTATCTTGAACAAAACAAATTTTGTACTACAGATAGCAATAACTATTAAAACAAACCTTTAACTCGGGATGACCTGTATCAACATCAATGTCTGTGGCACTGCCCGCGTCATTATTTGGAACATCCTGCAAACTGGTGATGTGATCGTGCTCCAAGATTTCCACCCTTTTTAAAAAATATTTTTGGAGAAAAAAATCAATTAAATACATGAAAAAATATGGAAAAACCAAATTTTCATTACAGTTAATAAAAATATTTTTTAGCAGATAAACATACCAATATCATTTCTTTGAGGAGGGTAAAGTCATTAGACCTTGTAACGTCCCGTTATTTTAAAAAGGAAAAATGTCGGATTT